TGATCTGCCGAGTTTCAGTGCAGAAGACATCTAAAAGGGGCGTCCAAAAAGCCACAAGTGGGCTTCCTTTTCGACGTTTGTTTGTTTCTCGTTGGAATAATGCCCCGCAACCTACTACAGTTAGCCAAAAAGGACAGTTACATTATTCTTGTGACCTCATGCTTTAAACTTTAATTGTGCGATTGAGATCCCTCAGAACCCCATTCTTGGCAAAAAAACAAGTAGGCCCGGGCAATATGCCCTGCCATGCCACACAAACGCATTCCCTGTCATCACAGTCACTTCCATGGAAACCGAAACCGAAACCGCAGCCTCCAGGCTTGCGAGGGTCGGCTCGATGTGGTTTTTTGCTTCAGAAAACCCTTGGCCTGTTGGCCTTGGGACACCGCTGGGGTTTCCCAAAAGAACACCGACGACTTTGGGGGTGAAGACACATGTCTCCCTGAGAATCAAAGCGAGTCCAAGCCGAGCCGCTAGGCCCAGGGACCTGTTTCGACCAAGGTTCCCAAATAGTGCGATTGAGGGGTCTGGAAAACAACAGTTTCCAGTTGAAGGCCTGTCAACTGTAAGGCCCTTGTTGGCATCCTCTATAAAAGGCGGCAAAGGGGTCGATAGTTTTGCCACACCCCATTTGGGCAATTTAACAAACTTGCCATTCAGCCAACTTCGCTCTGCCAGGGTGCGGCATCGCGGTCATCTCTCTTCTCTGCCCGGGCCTCAGCTCGAACAATGAGCCATGGCCAGAACGTCCGCGATCGCACACATTTATAATTGGCTGAAAGCAGATAGCCAATTGCATCATACTCCTCCCTACCAAGCTGAAGGGTTTCGTGACCAAAGGGGTGGTCCAACTTTGAGGGAGAGAAGGCATAACCGGTGACTTTCGCCAACGGCTAAATCATGCGCCTTACCCCTCGGTGAGTTCGGATTGCTTTAAGAGGGGTCAAAAGGGGAAACCGCCCTTTCGGTGGTTTCCACAACAACCAGCTGACACCAACATGGCTTACCCTGAAACCAAAATCGTCCCAAAACGCACCAAGCCACACCCCACGCCCTCCCCGCCCCCCCACGCCCTCCCGGGCCCACAGATTCTCAGCCGCCCCGCCGACTGCATCTTTGGCTTCGGCCCCGTGGATTTGCCCCGCAACGCCTCGGTCGTAGGAAGCAACGGGTTTAGCGAGGGGTAGACTCAAGAGGGATTGCCTGAAAAGGTCCAGAAAAAAAAAGAAGAAAACAAAAAGTGCAGGAGTTCTCCTTTGATTCCTCGCTTTCTCCTTCGATCCCTTGTTTCTCCTTTGATTCCCTGCTTTCAAGAGCTCTTGAACGTGAGGGTTCCTCTCTAGCAGGCTCCCTCGAGAGAGCCTCTTTCAGGCGCCATCGACAGAGCAACGGCGTCCAAGCATCGTTCTCCACATCATCCCACACACTTCAATTGTGAAGGCCCCGGGAAAATGAGAGAAATATGTGCAGTAGTGATAACTTCCGTTTAAAGCCAACAAGGGGAAATAACACATATTCAATTCAGCAAATGGAAGCAAATCATCCTCAGACCGATCACGGGGGTTTTAGAAACTCTGTTGGCTACATTTGGCTACTCCTGAATCATTCGATGATCAAGGGTATTGAACGACGGGTATTGAACGTCCAGCCAACAACCTGTTCAATACGTATTCAATGGGGTATTGAGCGAAAGATGTACCCACCCAATATACCCAGGTTTTGACTCACAGCCATATGCAGGCAAGGCAGATTTCTCAGCTGTCGTCCATCCTGGGTCGACATTAGTGCAGTGGACCTCCGTTGGGGACAAAAGGGCTTCTTTGTTGCGCAGTAGGGGTACACCTACACTAAAAAACCATGAGACACGTCCACTAGAGGTCTGGACGGAAACCGGGCCAAAGCCTGATACTGACTGCAGCTTCACCCGGAAGAGTGTACAAGTACTGCCCTCCCACCTGGGCCCTTCGGGTGAGGTACATGTTGGGGGATGATCCATGGGTTCTTTTCCATGCTTCGTCCTTGGCGTTCAGGCTCGCAGCCTGAAACTCCCGGAACGTTTCCCTTGTGGAAAGATCTACGGGGAGGTCTCCATGAACCGGAGGGCTGGGCATCCGATCTGCAAAAATGTTGCAACCAATTCCCAGACCCGAGTGAAGGAATCCCATCATGGCTGGCAGTTCAACTTGTGGGTCCAATCCAACATCCACAAAGTTTCAACCAAAAAGTTAAAGGCCTGAAGATCCAACCAAATAGCCATAAAAGAAATTGTGAATCCTTTTGGTTGAACAATTTGGGTCAACCCCTCAACCCCGACTGCAGGTTCCAAATCTACCAGCGATCCGTGAACCACGTGACCTGAGACCCGGGACGCTGAGGAATTGCATGGCCTCATGGCTACTCTCGGCCTATCGCTTTGTGAGCCATCGCAAGCTGACGCGACACGTCGCGCATGCTCGGCGAATAAAAGGGAGCTTGCGGTTTGGGAAGGGGGTCCTGTTGCGTCTTGTTTCTTTTCTTCTATTTGTCTTTGTCCTTTTGGGGGAAAGGGCGGCTAACATACGTACTTTAGTTTTGAGTGTTCAAAAGCCCGGGCTCCACCCCGAAAGTCGGCCATCAAGGACAGCCACTCAAAAGCTTGGCAAACGAAATGCAGTGCTACAGCTATTAAACGCATTAAAAGGATTGCTTCTTTTCTTGACATGGACATGAAAAAAGACGGTTTAACCTTTCCCCAGAAATGATGAGTTGTTGGGTTCTATGGTGTTCTATGTTCATCCGCACGTGTGTAGAGGAATCTGCGTCGGAGTCTCAAACACACAAGGTCTTAGTGGAATGCCCTGTTTTTGCCGAGCTGATGTTTGTGGAACACTTCCACAAATCTGTTGTCAGAGAATCTCATGCGTCTGCTCTCTGCCAAGGTGGAACCACTCGCTCGTATGACTGAACATGGTTCTAAAGCACAATTTTCCACAAGCACGGAGCTCGCTAGTTGCTCGAAGGAATGTATCACTGTTGCTGTCTCTCTCTCTCTCTCTCTACCTCTCTCTGTCTCTCCCCCTCCCCCTCTCTCTCCCTCTCTCCTTCTCTCTTCAAGCGGGGCTGGGCTATCCCTTTGCTTGCTCATGTTTAAACCCTTGTGGTTTCCTCTTTTTGGTTTGCCTTTAAAGGTCGCGTTGTTGAAGTTTGGTTGCACGTGCCATCACCTACCACGGCAACACAGGTCCTCACATGACTCATGAGATGTGTGAAATGCGCTTCGTCAAAGGCAAAGGTGTGTTGCAGGTGACACTTACAAATATCGAAGGCTAAGCAGCTACCAATAGTTCACTCCTATAATCGCGACATTGGCACCCCACCACCCCATTGTAGAATTTACCTGCCGAACATCGAAACCGCCGCCACCGGCTTGACCCAGTTCGGCGAGTCAGGCATCTGTCTTCAGGCGTAGCCCAGAAAGCCCAAGGGACCCCATCCTCAAAGCTCCCCGCATGGCCGCAATTTTCGTGGGACCCTACATCCGTCACTCAAAAAATCGCAACACTCCCCTAAGCCGGAAAGAAAAAACAAAAAAAAACGTCTCAACGCCCACGTCGGCGTCCAGGAATCCTCCCGGATCCCCAGAAAGGTCCAAAGGCCGCAGGGTTCCTTTGTGGAATGAGAAATGGAATGACCCCTATGAACCATCCGACTGGTGGTCTCCTTTCCTTTAAGGGATTGCCCAGGTTCATTCAGTCATTCCTTGCTCAGCGCCGGCAAGTAGTCAAAGCCTGGTATTGAAATTGTCCAACGGGCCATGAAGAGAATTGAACGGGCAGCACTGGTTGCGACTAGGCCGGGGTTTGGCGCAGTTCGACATGTCCTTTCTTGAGCCTACCCCTTTTTGTAAAGTTTTAAATGGAAACCACAAGGGAAGCCACAATCTTAGCCGGCCCCCTAAGACACCCCCCATTTGGAGAACCCCCCTGAGGCAGGGCAAATTCGGAGCCCGAATTTGCAGTCCGACACGGCGTGGGGCGTTTGCCGCGGGCTTGTTCGCATGATGCCAGTGGGAGGGCCACGACCCCATTGGCCCAAACCTCGACGATGGGCATCGGACCCTCCCAGGATTTAGATCACTCCTTGTGGTGATCAGCTGGTATGCACCGGCATGTCTAACCATGCAACTGCCATCATGGAAGTTTCGCAACGAGCAAGTCGCCCGTAATGTGTCTTCATATGTTTTCATCTTGTTCCCTGAGATCATGCACTTTAAACTTTGTGGAAAGACAAGTTTAGTGCTAAATACAACGCTCAGACTTTTTGTGGCTAGTCCAGGAAGTGATGGCGCAACATGAACCATCCCAATCCCAGGCCATGAACTGAACACAGAACCCCCTCAAACATAAAATTAATCAAAAGGATAAAAACAAAACCCAGGTCCGGGCTGGCCATAAACCTGTTGCGAGCCTTCCATGAACTCTCGAAAAAAAGCACCGCCCTATCACTTTACAGTTCGTGCCGCTTTCGGAGAGAAACACGAATTCACTCATGCAGAGTGACCGGCAACCTCGTGCCAGCAGAAAAAGCTATGCAACAAAATGGCTCGGCTAAGCAAAGGCTCAAACAATGGCCAGAACCAACTTCTCCAAAAGTACGGTAGTAGAGCCACCTACATGGGAGTGTCCCTATTGGGAGGTGTTGGGGAACCTCCGCCGCCGAGAGCTCGGAGCCGGGAGGGATCCTCACATTTCCGAAGGACCGGGAGAATGTGATCCTCCCGCGTCGCTTGTCCAAAAACAGGCTGGGGCCCTCTGAAAAACATCGCCGTCGCTGTCACACCAAAGGCCATCCACAAGCGGGCCTGACGATTCAAGAGCAACATGGGGCGGTCCACCATAGGACGTCGCGTGCAAAAATGACTCCTGATGTACATCAATTCGGCCCAGGGTGAGACGCGGGTATTTTCACCAGCCCGACCGCGGAGACGCTCTCGGGCAGGAGCGTGCGGCTGAAGCCGGCGTTCACCTACGGAACGCGAAGCAAGGATCCCAGCAAGGAAGCCAAGTAAGCAAAAACAAAAATAGCCAAATAGAGGAGAAAAGGGGAAATTGCAAAAAAAGAGCCAAACAAGGGGGGGAAGGGGGGAAAGAGGGGGAAGGGGCGGGGGAGGGGGAAAGGAGGGAAAGGGGGTAAAGGTGGGAAACTGGGCAAAAGCCAAAAGGAATATGGCTTCACTTGGGGGGTGCAAGCGGATAGATTTGAGACCTCCTGAGGGAAACCCAAAAGTTGCTTAACAAAGGTTGGCTCAATGCTCTCCTACAACTATGCAAACCCTAGAGTTTCAACAGCTGGTTGTTCCCACTGTTGAACGAAAGCCAAAGATGCTTCTTGGATAGGTTTCAACAACTGGCACAGCCCTGGCCCTCGCTATAGGAAAAAAACAAAAGGTGGGTCCCAGGGTGAACGAGCCCAGGCGCATCAATAGGTGGGGTTCCTTCCGTCCAAGGATTGCTTGATCCCCTCGGAGCGCGTGCACCCCATGAATCAGCCAGCCAGCCAGCGGCCATTTTTTCTTCATCCTGCCCCCCTAGCACGTGCCCCTTACAGAAACGATCTATGGCCGTGGGAAAGATGGCGCCTGCAAACACGAGAAACACAAGAACTGGGCACTTGACAGCCCCGAGTTCACTGGCAGGGGGGGAAGCTTGGTGGTTGCCATTGCTCTGCACAACCGCGCCCCTAAGTCAAGCAATGGCACCGGGTGTCTCGGAAGAATACGTCATGAGCAAAAATTCGCCGAAGGCTTCAGCCGGGTCCCCCAATCCCAGTTTTCGAGTCCCCGCCCCCCCGGACGTCCCTTTCGTTCCGCCTCTTGATGTTGTTCAGGAACTTGAGGGCCAGCACATGGACCGCTCTGAAGATGATCATGCACGCGCACATCACCTCAGCCGATGCACAGACCGGGAGTTGTCTGGCAATCATACTGAGGCCCGCCGTGGAAAACATGGTCAAACTGTTGGTGAAAAGAAACTCACTTCCCAGGTGGACTGGCCCAAAAAAGACATTTTTTTTTCACCACTAAAATTGTCCAAGCCCAAAAAGGTGACTAAAGTCCAAGAACTCAGGAAGTGAGGGCTTCCCTTTACACTGCTGGCTTTCCTTTTGGTTTCCCCAGCCAACATTTCCATGAACTCGAGTGAGGAAAACATCAGCACCGCGAGGGACCGCTGAGGGGGGCAATGGGCCGGCTCAGTCTGGTAAGTTCAAGGCCCAAGTTCGCATTTGTGGATTCTCACCCCGGGCTGAGGTGTCTCTCACGTGGTTTGTCTCAAACATGGCACGCCCCCAAAATCCAAGGCGTCCTTTCGGCCGAGTAAACCAGCGTGGGTACCCTTCGCCTCAAAGAAAGGTGAGTGAGCCACCCAGGTTTCTTGGTTACAGGGAAATGCCTCCCAAAGCTGATCACCGCGTGGGATATGACTAAAAAAAGGACCAAGCATAAAAGAAACCCAAACATGATCAGAACCCGTCGATTCGCCTTGGGCTACTGAGAAACCGCCATTCCAGAAGCGCCAAAAGTTACCCGAGGCTGCGGCGGAGAGGGCCTGCTTTGGCCTGTTCTTGTAGCCGAAGTGCGGCACAATGGCCTCGGCTTTCGGCTCTCTCTTTCGGCTCTTGAAGGCCGGAGCCCACTCACATACAACCCAATGCCTACCACCACCACCACCACCAAATTCCCCAGGCGGTTTGCAAGCTGCAAGAATGGGTTGTTGCCTCCGATTTTTCCATCACTATACGGATGCCACTACACAAGGGACCCAATCCTTGCGTAAGGTAAGGATTAAGCATTGACTTTCAACAGCCCACCCCATGGCTACCACCCCCCCCCCCTCCAGGCGGTTTGCAACCCACAAGGACCGCCTCAACACTGGCTGCATGGCACCGCAAAAGTGAGCCCTGGAAGGTCCCTTGGATGTCCGTGTTCAGATCCCCCGCAAAAAGTTTAACTTAACTTTTTTCGTAGGTTAAATACAGAAATTCCACCACTACACACGAAAAAGGCCTACAAAGCGAAGGAAGCCTTCACAAACCGGTTAATTCCCCTGACTGGATGGTTCGGCCGGTTGGTAAGAAACACGAGAAACGACTTTCACATGTGGCATGCGAGGGGGGGGGCCGCTGCACCAGGAAAACAAAAAATGGGCCCAGTGGAACAACTCAAGAGGTTTAACTCCACGCCGGTCGAATAAGCGTTTTGCTTTGTTGAAAAGTTCTTCAATTCGGGAGGTGCATTTCTTGCTAGTGCTGGGGGAAACCTTTGACTAACCGAGTTCATGTGTAGCCTACCCTGATCTGACAGGTCAATGGATTCCAACCAGGAAAAGGGGGCAGACTTGCCACTTGTTTCGCCCCTTGAATTCCCCTCCCAAGAACAAGAATGGAACCTGAGCACAGTAATTACAGCATATGCCCAAAACAATATTCTCAGATGCTGCTTCATATTTAGCCAACATTGAAATGGCAAAATCATATCGGAGGAGACCCTCGTGAGCATGCACGTGTCCGTTATTAGCCTCTTTTGGAAAGACGGTTTCTTGGCAGGGAAGACTTCTCAACTCAAAGGAGCATCGCACGCCCCCCTGTCGCGATGCTAAGCCTAACCCATTCCAAGGTGCGCTGTACAAGCCGTCCTGCCAGATAGGACACGGAAAGGAAACGGATACAGAAGTGCCCCTTGACCTTGGGTTCTCCTAACGTGGCTCCAAAGGTTCCGGAGGCTTTGTAACCCCAGTTAAACCCCAGTTAAACCAGGAAGGTGCCACATCTACGAAAGTTGCCAAATAGGGATTTTTGACCGCTCGGCTGCCAGTCCCGGGCAGCGCAACAGCTGTCCCAACATGGGATCCTTCCCTTTGAGCAGCATGTTGGCCATTCCGAGAGCTCGCTGGTTTGTTAGGCAGGGGACGAGAAATGGAATGACCCCTATAAGCCGTCCCTTGCGGCTTCCTTGAAGGGAATCCAGTTTGATAGGCAGGGAATCGCACCGGCAAGAAAGGGTCTCCACCTAATACTAGGACTAGTGCGCTGGCCTGTGAAAGGGGTCATTCAATTTTTCGGGAGCACGCCCCGCTGTATTTGGCACCTCGGCAGGTGGCCAACTATAGCGCCGAAACACGCTGAGACCGGGTTGATCCCATCCTGCGAACCTGTTTTGGGAGACTCTTCCAAGAGCCGGGCGTCTCGGCCTGAGCCTACCAACACTCAGTTGTTCAGTGACCCTGCAAAAAAAGGGAACCCTTTTGGGGGAAGACCATTTTTAGTGGAACAGCCGCCCCCCCCCCCCCCCCAAAAAAAAAAGAGGGAAAAATAATTGGTGCCACGGAAGAACTGAGAACAAAAACCATGTAAAGAATAAGTGCGAGAAGCCGCAGCTTCTGCTCGAGACCGGCCTGAAGAAACCCAGATCTACGATGGGCGTATGCTCCATGTGGGGAGATACGGCGACGTGAGTCCCTGGAACCTTTTCACCCCAGAAGCTTGAAACCTTACCTCAGTTGCCCAAAGGACCCAGAAATAAAAGGTTCACCTTTTGGGACCTTTACAAAAAATGGACCAAACCATGGGAAACCAAAAGGTCAAAAGGTCGGCTTTGGGCAAGTGAGTTACACACCAATCTGTTGGAACCTCGGCTGGGCCGACAAAAGAAACTTAAAACTCTCTCTCCTCTCTGCCTCCGTCCAGAGGGTCTTGACTGAGCAAGGCAGCACCCAAAACTGTCTGTCTGTGTTGTTTCTTGCCTTCTGTCAAACAAAGCACACACTTTGCAACTGTGTCTTCCCTTTTGTCACCAAAACACAAACTTTGCGCCTTTGCTAGCTGGCATGTTCTACCTAACCCAAGAGATCGAACGCTGAGAACTGCCGCGGCTCTCCGACGACCGAAAAATCGGCCCAAGTCCTGGCCACACGGGGGCCCATCGGGGACGCAGTACTCCGCCGCTGCCACCTCCGAAGCCGGGCCAAAGCGGAAGCCCAGCTGTTTGGTGGGTGAACCCACTAAGAACAAACGGGGCGTAACATGAACCACTGGGAAACGGGACGCCCTTTGTTGCGAGACTTAAAAACAAGTACAAGCTGAGATACGAAATCCGCATTTGGTGAGCTAATTCTCCCAGGACCGTTCTCCCAAGAGATGACCTAATTTGGCTTCAACATATCCCCCAGCCCGGCCCCATTCTAACCCATAGACTCTTCTAGTATCTTCTAATATGGACCCTCGTAGTCATCAGGCAATACTTGCTGGCATCGTTTTTCCCAGCCCCCCTGATCCCCCATGCTACTTTATGGGCTGTATTCACTAGAGTGATTAGTGATGGTGTCTGTCCGGTTCATGCCCTCACTTCCTTTTTTGAACAACCAAACAAAGTAACCAAACTTTGTGTTTACCACTACAACTCACTTCCTGAGGGGACTGGCCAAAACAAGTAGCACAACCTTTTTTGCCTTAAGCAACCAACATGGTCCAATCCCCTCAAAAGCTGTTTAAGTCCAGGAACAGGAGTGAGGTCCAACTCATTGCCCTCCGCGGATCGACCCAATCGCTTATGCCGGGTCGCTGTCATGGCTTCCATGGCATAGGCCACGGGCGAGATGTCGATGGCCCAGGCGAGCCACTTGGGGCAGGTCTGGATCGTCACAGTGAAACCTCGATTGATCGATGCCAAAAGTGAAGCCACTGGTGCGGCCCCCAGGTGGCCAGGTGGATAGGTAGATAGGTTTAGCGCCCCGGCAGCCATGGGAGAAACGGGCATTGCGTTGGCAAGTGCATTTCTGGGGCTTCCCATAGGGAAAAAGGGAAGCCTTGGCTTGGTAGCTGATTCAGTTGCTGTGTCATTCCCCCCAAAAAAGTAAAGAAAAATAGGACAAGAGAAACCCCCGCTATCTCCGGGGCCCAAGGCAGCACCAGTGCCGAATGACTCAACACCTGAAAAACCTGGCGTGGCTGTTGCTTTTTCTGACCCAAAAAGGGAGGGGGGCAAGGAAACTGAACCTGGCGCTTGGGCGTTCTAATCCGAAAAGGGCGGGATTAACCCAACGAATCAAAGGGCAGGGCACCTTTTTTAGGTCCCTTTGACCGTGCTCCAAGTGATTCATGCGCGCGGAATCCTGAAGTCAAGCAACCTGCAACCTGGGCAGGGAAACAGGGATAGAAAAAAAACGGAAATCGCGATGAATATGACTCAGATGTTTATGGGCCATGGGCAAAAAAGGGCAGCCTCTTTTGGTTGGTTGAGTTTAAAGGGGAACCCTCCCCAAAAAAAAGGAACAAAGGGCGGACTCCACTGGGCAACTGGGATGATTTATGAAAGGATCAGTGATCAAGCTCATACCCCATTTCACCTTCAGCTGGGCAGAGACAATACCTCCAAAAAGGAAAGTAAGTGATATTCCAGAAGGTGCCTGTGAATTTCCATGTTGGTGGGAGGGCATCCTCTTGAAAAGAAGGCTATCGTCAAGGGGCCAACAAATCGAGTGTGCTAGGCCCATGGCGTCGGCCAATCAAGGGAGGTGGCTTTGCGCAGACAATAAATTTGAGGGCAGAACAACTCTCCCAGAAGAGGCGCCCTTTTGTTTGGCGTTTGAGTCAAAGGGCCCCTTCCCCAGGTGGCCATAGTCTAAAAAAGAGAGTTGGAACCCTTTTCGGTTGGCCGCTTCCGTTGATAGCGGTTGAAAGCCACCCAGAGACCTTGAGGGTTGAGTGTAAGGTGACCTCAACATCTCCCCCGGAACTCATGTTGCCAAAAGGCCATTGTAGAGCATGAAGAGCAGCAAAAATGGAAGAGACATCACCTGCGCAGTTGTCGCGTCCTGGAGAAAAAGTCGGCGTGATTCAAACGCGAGAGCGGTCCATGGGGGGTTTCTCTGGCTCATGGGAGACCCAACGGCTGACCACGGAAATGGTTGCCAAAGCTCAAGCAAAAGGTACCTTGCAGCCCGCTTCGGCAGGCTGCCTAAGGTCAGGTACCCACATGGAACATGCACCCACAAGCCATGCATTTGTCCATATGTATATATACCTGTATATGTATATATATATATATATAGACCTTTGTCCACATATGTGTACATATGTAGAGACACCTACACATACCTATGCATACATACACGGATGCTTGCTGAGGATACCATGTGGGCTCCTGTGCTACGCAAACCACGGATTTTGGTGTGGGACGGTGTGCACCCATCTCTGTGTCAAAATAGGGAGACCCCAAGTGTGGTTCCCCTTCGTTTCCCTTTAACAGGGATCCTTACATTATACACCTCAACATTGCCTTGTAAATGGTGGTTTCCCTATATTTTGGTGGAACAAGCCATGTTTCAAATGGGCAAAATGTATCTTTTAAGGATCCCTGTTTAAGCCAAAGCCTTGAAGTACAACCTTTGCGCCTGCAGATTAGGCAGCCGGGGCCCAGTTTTCCATGTAGTCTTTTCCATGGGGGTACGTGGTGTTTCCCTGGAGTACACCCAAAAAACTGGGAGAAAAAAAAGAGTTTGATATTCTGCTTCATACTTCGTCAACCCTTCGGCAGACTTGAATATAGATTTGTTTGGAGAACCTTGGCACATGGCTTGTCTGGTTCCCCGCGTGGCTGGAAGAACTGACAGCTGTCCACAAGAAACTTTCTCTGTTTCTTTCCCAAGCTCCATGTCTAGTGACTCAGCTCGAGCCTCAAATTCAAAAGGTGCTCAAAGTTTGCCGCGAGCAAGACTTGGGAAGACCCCACAGCTATCTGTACTCATCAAAAATGCATTGACCAGGCATCATGTCCACTAAATTTGACGCCGAGGGGTCCGATTCCCAACAAGACGACGAGCCACCCTGGAAGATAGAAGGGTCCCGATCCCGCGTATGTGCCCAATCGGAGTCCTTAGCGATGCCCGACAGCATCATGTACAGGCTCTCCATGACGGCATTCACCATGAGCGACCAGAACCAGACGTGCCTGGCACGGCGTGCACGCGTCCACGAGTCCAGCAGGATGAACTCCAAGGCTGCGGTTGAAATGGAATCCACGAATCTGTGATACAACCAAAAGGGCCTCTCAAAGACTAACCCCCCCCACCCCCCACCCCCCAAAACAAAGAAAAGGGGATTCCCTTGTATCACAGAAGTGGGGATAACCCCTTGATCGCACAACCCTGGATGAACTTTACGGAATGACGCCCGGCTTCTTGTAGGACGTCTGGTCATTAGGTACGGGATGAACGTTACGGGCTTCCAGTAGAATACATCCAAAAGCCTCCCTAACTTCTTCTTCTTCTTTTTTCCGTGGGGGGGGCTTCAGCAAATGGAAGCTTGCTTATGCCACCGTATTACAAGGATTCCCTGAAGTAAATCAGGAGGTTTTGGAGAAGACTTACCTATGCCAGTGTATTAGAAGGTATTACAAGGATTCCCTTACAAACCGCCTCTTGGGGGACCAGCCATCCAACAAACAATGGGTCTGTCTCAAAATAGGGGACCCCCCACAATAAAGCCAAGCCCAAAAAAAGGAAGAAAAAAAAACAAGCTGTTGTCAATTGCAGATGCAAATAACCAAAAGGTGGGCGACTGGCCAAGAATCCCCGCCGGGCAAAATGTTGCCGGGACGCGTAAAGGTTTAGGTCTGACTCAGCCTCCCTGCCCACTCCAACTTCCAGAGAGACGCATGGGCCTACCCCTGGATAACTTTGTGGGGTTTTGGTCGCGCCCCTGCCGCCAAGCTGCCAGAAGAGCGCCCAAGGGAATGCCATGAATGGCCACATCAGACTCATGAACCTCAAGTTGACACAGCTCATGGCTCACAGTTCATCCCCTAGTTGCCCGTTCGCTAGTAGCCCTTCTCTTCCATGTGCTTAAGCCCCCTGGTGGTGATAGGTTCCCTTTAAAACCAACAGGGGAAATTAACCGATGTTCTTAAGCGAATGGATGTTTTGTTGGTTGGGTCCAGGTGTACAGGGGAACCCGCCAAACAAAAAGGGAGTTGAAGGGTAGAATTCGTGAGAAACTTGGGCAATCCTTTCTCCCGAACAGTAAAAGGGCCCCCCCTCCCTCCAGGACCATCGGAGTGGCCAAAAGTGTACACGCACACGCACACGCACACGCACACGCCCACGCCCACGCCCACGCACTCGCCCATCGCCCACGCACACGCCCACGCACACGCACACGCCCACGCACACGCACACGCCCACGCACACGCCCACGCACACGCCCACGCACACGCCCCCACACGCCCCCACACGCCCCCACATGCCCCCACACGCCCCCACACGCCCCCACACGCCCCCACACACACCCACACACACACCCACACACACCCACACACACCCACACACACCCACACACACCCACACACACCCACACACACCCACACACACCCACACAATCCCACACACACCCACACACACCCACACACTCCCACACACACCCACACACACCCACACACACCCACACA